TTCCTATTTGAAAGGGTGAAATTTTGATTCCATTTATAGCATCTCTTTTTTTGGCACGTATTTTCCAATATTTTCACAAGTTCTGGGAATTGGGACATGGACATTTTGTGGCAATGTGCCTATTACACATTTACTTCTCCTTGAATTCTCCTAGTGTCCCTGTTTTATGATCCCCATATTATAGGGGAGAAAGAGAGGCTTAGATTAAATAATTTTCCAAAGATCAAATTAATAGTGATCAAATTAAAAGCGAGGATTTGAATCTGATCAGTTGTCTCCAGAACATGCCTAGTTTAGACCTCCATGATGTTGAGCTGTAAGATGAGCTCTCATGCCAGTGCCTGGAACCCCTTGTCTGTATTTATGTCCTGGAATAATTTAAAAGAAGAAAATGAACTGCGTGTATTTAGAAGCTTGGGAGATTTTACTTTCCACGGGAGGGCGGAGAACCAAACGAGTACTTCAAGTCTGTCTCAAAAGATGTATGTTTCTGACCAAGTCTTATTGAGGCAGCTGGTTTTACAACTTTTTCCTAATTTCACATCTTTTTCCCTTTTAACATTTTTTTTTTTTTTGCTGGCAAATATTTCACGGGAAGTTGGAGGAAACATTATTAGGAACAATTACCTCAGCAAATAGATAGCATGACCATGTCTATGAATCATTTATTACTTATCTAGGCTGAGTGCCTTACCTCACTTGGTGACACTGTGAGGTCAGTACTATTAACAGCTGGATAGACAAGGAACTGCGATGCCAATAAATGAACTCGCTGGGATTTGACAGTGTAGTATAAAACTTCTATCTTCTATGGCCCCTGTAATCTCATCTTCTCAGATGGAGATACTTGAATTTTTTTCTGATCTTGAAAACTTTCACACTTCACCCCTAACTGAAACATCCGATATCACGCATCTTTGGATTTGGGCTGCTTTCCTATGTCCAGATAAATACCATTATAATTATAGAGCCTCTCTGGCACCTCAGCTAGGCAAAGAAGAAAAGCATTTTTAAAATGCGGAGTTTGGGGCCTTCTTTTTCTTCTATTAGGCACAAGATCTCTGTTCATAGTTCCTAAATCTTTGATCCACTTTGAGTTGACTTTCATGAAGGGTGAGAGATAGGAGTTTAGTTTCATTTTGTTACATGTGCCTTTCCAATTTTCCCAGCACCATTTGTTGAATAGTCAATGTTTTTGGCGCCTTTGTCTAGTATGACATAACTATTTATGTGGGTTTGTCTCTGTGTCTTCTGTTCTGTACATTGGTCTATGTGTCTGTTTGGGGGCCAGTGCCATGCTGTTTTTATTATTAGGCCCTTGTAGCATAGTTTAAGTTCTGGTATTGTGATGCCTCCTGCTTTACTCTCCTTGCTAAGGATTGCTTTGGTTATTTTGGGTCTTTTATTTTTCCATATGAAGTTCATGATTGCTTTTTCTAGTTCTGTGAAGAATGCTATTGGGATTTTAATAGGAATTGCATTAAATTCTGTATAATGCTTTTGGTAGTATGGCCATTTTGACAATGTAATTCTGCCTATCCAGGAGCATGGGAGGTCTTTCCATCTTCTAAGGTCTTCTTCAATTTCTTTCTTTAGTCTTCTATAGTTTTCATTGTAGAGGTCTTTCACATCTTTTGTTAGATTGATTCCCAAGTTTTTTTTTGAGGCTCTTGTGAATGGGGTAGTTTTCCTAATTTTTCTTTCAGTAGATTCATCACTGATATATAGGAATGTATTTGATTTATTGGTGTTGATATTATATCCTGCTACTTTGCTGAATTCATTTATGAATTCTAGAACCTAGGATCTGACTTCATTAATAAGAATCCTAAAGTGCAAGAAGTAAAATCAAAATCAATAAATGGAATGGCATCACACTAAAAAGCTTCTTCTCAGCAAAGAAAACAATCAATAATGTGAAGAGAGAGCCTACAGAATGGGAGAAAATCTTTACCACATCCACCTCAGGATAGAGCATTAATCTCCAGGATATAAAAGACCTCAAAAAAACTTAGCACCAAAAAAAAAAAAAGCCAATAAGTGGGCCAAGGAACTGAATAGACACTACACAGAAGAAGAAATACAATCAATCAACAAATATAAGAAAAATGTTCAACATCTTTAGCGATTAGACAAATGCAAATCAAAACCATTCTAGTATTTCATCTCACCCCAGTCAGAATGGCAATCATCAAGAATACAAACAACAATAAATGTTGATGAGGACGTGGGGAAAAAGGTTCACTCACACATTGCTGGCAGGAATGCAAATTGGTATAACCATATGGAAAGCAGTATGGACATTCCTCAAAAACTTGGAATGGAACCACTCTTTGACTCGGCTATCCTACTCCTCAGTTTATACCTGAAGGACTTAAAATCAGCATATTTCAGGGATATAGCCACATGGATGTTTATAGCAGCTAAATTCACAACAGCTAAATTCTGGAACAAATCTAGATGCTCTTCAGCAGATGAATGAATAAATAAAATATGATGTATGCATATATATGATGGAATATTACTCAGCATTAAAGAAGAATGAAATTCTGACATTTGCTGGTAAGTGAATGAAGCTGGAGAATATCATGCTAAGTAAAATAAACCAATCCCCCCAAAACAAAGGCCAAACATTTTCTCTGACATGCAGATGCTAATTCACAGTAAGAGGGGGACAGGGAAGAATAGAGTTAGTTTATGTAGAGGGTAGGGCATATGGGGTTAGGAAGGACAGTAGAATCAATTAGACATTATTACCCTTTGTGCATATATAACCATACAACTGGGGGATTCCACACCATGTACGACCAGAAGAATTAAGAATTATACTCCATCCATGTATGCTGTACCAAAATGCATTCTACTCTCATGTATTACTAATTTTAGAACAAATAAAAAAGGAAAAATGGGGTTGGATTCAATTTTGTATACATGTACCAAAATATCATTTTGCAATCCAGAAATATGTACAAGAACTATGCATACATTAAAAAATAAAAATATAAGCCGGGTGAGGGGGGGAAGACAAGAAAACATAGAGAGTTTTCAAGTTGTCACCCAGTTGTTCTCTTTCACTCATACGTAAGCACAGAGTTGAAGAATTTTGCATTGTTTACCTGGAATAGACTAGATTCCAGACTCCTGAAGTTTAAGTGAAGAGCCTAGAGCTTTCTCATAATTACAATTAAATCCTTATTATAAGTTCCTTTTTAAAAAATATCTATTTAGTTGAAAATAGAAATTTATTTTATTTATTTATATGTGGTGCTGAGAATCAAACCCAGGGCCTCACATAGGCTAGGCAAGCACTCTACCCACTGAGCCCCAGCCCCAGCCCAAGTCCTTATTATAAGTTCCATGCACGGAGTGTGTGTATGTGTGTGTGTGTGTGTGTGTGTGTGTGTAATTTCCTTATATTTGTATAGATCTTCGTTGTTTTCAACACATTTTTACATGTTCTTATTCCATTCTCAAAAACATCTTGTGAAGTAAGATAGGAAAAAAAAATCCTTATAATGATAAGATGGTGGTGGTGGTGATGATGAAGAATGCTTACCATATGCTAAAGTCAAATACTCCACCTCTTTAATCTTGCTTAGTTCTTTCAACATCTGCTGGTGTAGATACTTCTGTTATTCCCATTTTATAGACAAAGCTAATTGAATTCTTCAAGGTAGCCCAGCTTGTAAGGATGTATTTTCCACTCAGGCAATTTAATTCGCAGAACTGCATCCTAAACTAAAACTCGATGGCATTATTTCCATTCTGTAGCTGAAACAATTAAGACCCAGAGTGAATTAAGTAGGGTTGCTTAAGATTTCCCAGCTGTCAGTTCTAGAACTTGGACAAAATTTCCTACCTTCTATTTGGAGGTAGTAACTATATAGCAGAATTATATGGAATCAGAGAGACTTCCATTCAAATGGTGCACCATTGGGCACTGAATGTATGACCTTGGATAAATCATCTAATTTTTAATTTGCTCAGCTCAAGCAATGGAAGTTATCATACCTACTTTCTTATGTTGGAGATTATATATATATACATATGATGTCTGGCATGCAGCAAGTAAACATAAAGTAATTATTATTATTTGTCAAGGACTAGTTCTTCTACTATACCAGCTGTCTCTCTAAGTGAGGGTCCAGATCTAGAGGGTCTTAGGAGTGGTGAAATTGCAGTTGATTGGGGGAAACTGTCATAGCAGCCCTCAATCATTTTTAAATATGAGCCACAGGCTGTTGGCAGGTGCCACCTGATAAGTCAGCGCCAGCTTAAGTGAAGGCTCAGAGATGGGTCCTGGATCTGAGAAATGCAGTAAGGTTCTGGTGAACTTGACAAATGTAAAGCAATCATATCTTGAGGGTTGGAGGTTTAATAATCTTCATACTTTCTCCTTAGCAGAGCTGCTGGCGAGCATGATTTCTTATTATTTCTTCTAATAAGTATAGGTTCCCTCCTGAAAGATGAGATTCCAAAGGTAGTTCTGGAAAGCTGAGCAGAATATGGTGCTAAGAAAATGGGTGAATGCTGAAGATTGTTCTCTATGTGAAGTTGTTCTCTATGTGGAGTAGACTACTGAAATATACAATTGGTGGGTAGTTTTCAACGTTGATCCCCTGAGTAAACATTGGTGTGCCCCAGAAAGAGTTCTATTTCAGAATGATTTATAGTCCATGGTGCTGTAGCATGATCTGAATTACCTTTGGAAGGAGGAGCAGCTATCAAATGCATTTAGAGGATAAAAATAGGCAGATGAGCATAAATGCGGAAATGTCCTAGGTTTCTCTCTGTCTTCCAAGGAGATTTTCAGGGGCACACCTAGGGAAGCTCTACTTTCTGATGCCTACTGGCACTGAAGGTTGAAGTGTAGAAATTTGTGAATTGTTTGCTTCCTGATGAGGTTTCTGTATGCCACCCCCCCACCCGCCCTGCCACCCTGCCACAAAACTAGAAGGAATCTCAGAAATGAATGGTGATATCTAGCTTTCACAATGGAGTTGAAGTAATGCACAACTGTTTAGGTATTTTAGGCATCTCAGGCAGAAGAAATGATCAAGTCAAGCATAATGATTTCCAAAAAACCATTCTGAGGGGGGATAGAATCTTGATAGTAAAGTAGGCCTATATATAAACTCTAGAATCAAGCAAATCTACATTATCTCTAAATCCTACTTCTGTCACTTAAATAGCTATGAATCTGTGGGGAAGTTATAATATTCCTCTAAACCTCCACTTCCATATCAATAAAATGGAAATGATAGTAATACCTATTATATAGGTTTGTTTTAAAGATTAAGTTAGAAATCCACATATAGTCCTTAGCAGTTTCTAGTCTGCAGTACGTGCTCACTGTTACCTTTTGTATGATTATTCTAGCTCTCCTGTCCAGATATTATTGATCCATTAAGGTCGGGAAGTTAGAGTGGGACCACTTTTCTCTATCTTTCTTGTAGGTCAGTATTTATAAAAGGTCAACCTTCACTCCCGAAGGCAGATCTTCAGCTAGGCCTAGCCAAGACAATTCCCAGAGCTATGAGCAGAAAGAGACAGTCTTAGCTGTTGACAAGCCCCTTAGGTATCTTCTGGCCCTGTCACCAGAGACAGGAGGCTCAGAGAAAACCGTAGGCAACAGCTCTCACTTCCAGCCCGCTGCCAAGGCAGGCAGAAAACAGGATCTCAAGCCAGCCAGTCTGCAGGTGCAAAAGCCACTGGAGATGGGAGACAGCTGCAAAGCTGCCTGGCACAGCTGTTGAATATGAAGGTCAGCCAAATTCATGAGGCATCACCTCGATTGCACTGGAAGAGAAATAAAGGGAAAGTGGATTAAGAGAAGTTAATGTTGGATGTGGCTCTTCAAGGTGGTCAGCTAGAGTGCTTTCATTATAGGACTGGACTATGCTTTTACATTGGGGCACCCTGAGAACCAGAGAGGGAAATGAACTGTCCCTTTCCAGTTCCACAGAGATGGCAGTGCAGAGTCAGCTTTTGGTCTGGATCTCTGGACTCTAGTTTTTCCTATACATAATTGTAGCCATTGCCTGTTGGCAATTTGAAGGACCAAAATAATGCAAGAATTTAGTATACTGAGTTTCTTAATAGTGAGTTTTTGAAAAACCATATGAAGCCATAGCACATAAGTGAATGCTTTTCTATATGATCTTCTAAATCTCCTAAGTAGGTAAGATTTAAGTGGCCCAAATCTAAATGTTTCAAAGCTTGAGAATGTGTTTTTCTTTTTTAAACAAATGAGGGAACAGATATACCACCTTTTCTAATAGTTGGGCTTTATGTGACTTGTAACACTTTTTTTAAACTTTTTTTATACCAAGGAAAATTATGTTTTTCTTTATATGTAAGGATGGTAATAATAATGGATTTGATAAGTGCACAGTACCATTATTTCACTGACCCTATTGTAACCAAGGATGAACATTTGCAAGAAAGCAAATCTAGGTTGGTAGTGCATCCCTGGTCCAATAAATAAATAAAAAAGCTAAGCTAAGTGTGTCTGGATGGGAGTGGAATGCTTAACCTTAGATTCATCAGCATCACATTTGAGAGCTGAACTCTGAGTATTTTCCTGAAATGTTGAAGTCAAACATCTACCTACCCTATCATGCAATGCTGAATCCCTAGATTCATTAAACAGATATTGTACCTACTGCAGCCAATGAAAGGTCAAATTGCTGAGAACGGCCGGCCAGGCAAACAAACACACTGTTTTGTATTCTACCTTTAAAACACATCAGAGAGCAGGTAAACCATTTCCAACTTACTTGAATACAAGGGAATTATAACATGACATTTATACCATCTTTCTTTAAACTTATCTAAATGGCTTAATAGTGTTTGAGGGAAATAAGTATATGCCCAACAGAGCATCAACTCCTATAGAAACATAATGCTTTACCTACAGGTAAACTACACTTGTAATTTGGATCTTTTCCAGTTGAAACATTTTTTAAAAGTATAAAGAGGTGGGATTAGTTTTAATGATGTATTCAGTAATCTATTTTAGCTATACCATTCTATCCAAACTATTATTATTTTAACATATAATCAACATAGAAGTAGTCATGGTGATATTTCACATTATTTTTATGCTAAGACTTCAAAATCTGGTGTGATTTTCATACTTACCAAGGGTCAGTGGGACTGGCCACGTTTCAGTGCTTAATAGCTGTGTGTGGCTTGTGTTAGATTGCGTGACTCAAGAGGCAGCCTGCAGACTCGCTCCTCCTCAGTGGGGATTCCAGAGCTTGCTAGAACTGCCTAGGACGGATGCTCAGAAACATTTGGTTTTCTTAGTCGATACGATTAAGGCAAACAACTCAATACCTACTAAGCACAAACAAAAGTAAATATTTGGTAATAGATTTTCCTCAGGACTCAAGGAATTCATTTACTCAGCTATCTGGGGTGAGTGTGTTTTAATCAGATTTTTTTTTTCCTGCTGTGACCAAAAGACCTCACAAGAACAATTTTAGATGAGGAAAAGTTTATTTTGGGGCTCACAGTTTCAGAAGTCTCAATCCATAAACAACTGGTTCCATTCCTTGGGGCACAAAGCAAGGCAGAATATCAAGGCAGAAGTGTGTGACTGAGGAAAACAGCTGGGAACATGGCATCCAGGAAGGGGGTTGGGGTGGGGGGGAGAGAGAGAGAGAGAGAGAGAGACAGACAGACAGACAGACAGACAGCAAGCAAGTGCCTGCACTATCTCTGCTCAACAAGGACAAAACATAAACTCTAAGGCACACCCACAGGGACCCACCGTCTCCAGCCTACCCTACCTGCCTACAGTTCCCTCCAACGTAATCCCTATCAGGGGATTAGTGCACTGATTAGGTCTTACCTTTTATAATCCAGTCATTGCATCTTTCAACTTTCTCGCATTGTCTCACACACAGGCTTTTGGGCGACTTCTCATATCTAAACCATAATAGGATGTGCAAAGGAGGTTAGTGTATTCTTATAAGCCCACTGAAGGTCGTTTCTTTTTTGCCCCAAATCTCCTTCCCTTCTGGCATCCCCCTGCGGTAGCAGATAGTTGAATGAGGAAAGGGGCTCTTACCTCTGACCACGGCTGCTTTTGAGGCCGGATGGTTACATAGACACACTCACTTCTGTCGATGCTTGAAACGTAACTGGAGGAGATGTATACACATCCCCCTGCTTTGTCCCATTATCCAGTCATCAAAGGTTATTTCTAAGGGTGAAGCTGTTCTTTCTATGAAGACCAAGTAAGAGAAAGTGAACTTGTCTCTTCTGAAATTGTCTAATGCTGTGTTTGCCTCCAGGCTAAGGGAAAAGCCCTACTTTTTGTTTTTTTTTTTTCCTCCACAGAAGGCAAGTTTTGTCAGTGGTTACACTTTTATTGTTGACACTGTACCTCTGTATGAGTGTTTGTGCAAGGCTCATAAACCTTAGCAACTTCATTACTCACCAATTAGTTTCAAATGAATTTTACTGTCTTGACTCTAATGATGCTGTTCATGGAGCAGGCTCCATGTTCATAAAGGATTTCACATCTGACTGCCTGGAAGGCAGGTGCAGAGTGAGAGCCACCAATTCTTTAGCTGGGAATTATGCTTTCAGAGAGGCCCGCCAGGTCCCTAAGGACAAATTGCTTCCTGTCGTCAGGGCTTTCCCCTTCTGCAGATTTCATCCTCCTTTTCCTTAGAGTCTACACACAAGTATGGAAAATGTCCTGGAAGCAGGACCAGATTTGGGTTTCCAGGTTATTGTGAAAATTGTGAGATAATGGACATTAAAGTGATTTATGAACTGTCAAGAGTTTTTTTCTGCAGATGGAAGGAAGGAAGGGCCCCAAGGAGAGTGTATAACTCAAGAATATGCTTATCCTGAGAGTCATTCTTAATTGCAAGAAAATTGGGGTGCTAGCTCAGATTTATCTGCTGGGGGGTACCCCCATTCTGTTTTGGCAAGGCAATATCTTAGGAACAAGGTAGTAAGAATTCATTTTTCTTCTCTTCCCGCACCAAATTTATGACATTATTTCCTTTCAAGGCAGTTGACGAGAGACATTTCATCCTGTTTGTAGTTGGATTAAAAATTTGAGAAAGAGCAGCACTATTGTTCCAAAGCCAGAGTAGGTTGGGCTTATATATTCTTGGTCCCTGTACCTTCTCTGAATTCAGTTCACTTTGCTGATTTCTGATTGCCTTGGAGCAGACGTGAATTTATATAGAGTCCATTATCTTGCATGTCCAGGAACTTTGTCTCAGAAATAACCAGCTTAGCTTCTTTCTTCTCTCCTTTCTTTCCTCCTTTACTTCCTATCTCCCTCTATTTGGTATTAGGGTAATAGCATTTGATACTAGGATGATTTGCAAGTTTGGGTCCTTTTAAATGGCTAGACTTGTTAAAGTATTAATAACATTAACCTGGAAGAATTTTTGACTATTGGGACTCTGTCTTTTTCCCCCCCTTGAACCTAGTACATTGCCTTACATACAGTAGGTGCTCAATCAGTGTCCACTGAATGAACAGTGAGAAGCAATAAACAATTCTTGTGAGGCTCTAAAATGTGTTGAGAACCCTACAGAAATATTTTCTTTTGCTCTTCACAGTGGCCCTAGGAGGCAGATGACATCGCCCCCGTTTTATAGATGAGAAAACTGGTTGACAGAGCCACATGAGATTTTCCTAAGGTAATGCAGTGGCATGATACTTGGGTTTGAAATCAGGTTGGTGACCCTCCAAAGCCCCTGCAGTTTTTGTGCTGCATTTTTGAAACTTTAAATAAATGCCTGCCTTCCAGTCTTAAAATAAATAGTTCTTTCTCAGATAATGTAACTTCAGGGACATTTATATTTAAGTAAGAGAGTCTGACATGAAGACGAATCCACCTTTTCTCCTCTAAATCCCATTCTTCCATGAAATTTCTTTTTTAACTTTCACAAAAATAACCAACACTTACTGTTTATAGGCCAGACACCGCCATTAGGGCTTTACAGGCATTTAATTCTCCCAGGACCTCGTGCAGCAGACACATCACGTTTTCAGTCATCATATGAAGAACTTATGACATGAGGTCAGTACGCACTGTGTCCAGGGTGGCACTGCAGATCCTGGACTTGTTTTAGTCCTGTCTGACTCCAGAATGAAATCCTTTTACTGTTTCATGACCCTCTTTACTCGTTCTGCTTTTGTATCCAGAACCATCAGTTGTATATTCCTATGTCTGTGGTTTGTTGAGAATCCTTATAAGATTGTAAGCTCCTTGAGAGTTTGGCACCTTGTCTTTATCTTCTGTATTGTCCCAGCTAATGCTCACAGAGGACTCATTTAATACTGGGACAGTTCTCAGATCCTGATCAGATGATCAGCCAGTCTTTCTGTGAAACTAAAGGAAATGCTTGTTTATATCTCAAGCGTTATTGTTACCAACATCATTTCTGTGCCGTAAGCAGACACTTTTTGTACCCTATGCCACATGCCCTCCATCTACCACTGATTTCAGATGCCTTTGTGCTGGACAGTTACCAGGCAAGATGGCTGCCTCCCATCTTCTGTGCCTTCCACTGGTCTGTACTTTTGCTTCAAGGCTTTTCCTAAAACCTCTGAAACTGTGGAAGGCTATCTTTGGGCAGCACAGAACTGTGGGGGAGTTAATGCCCCGGGGAAAACTTCAGCCAATGGACAAAGGAAGAAATGTCTAAGCCTCTTGTCCTTCAGAAGGAAATTCTTGGGTACACTCTACCCAGTCCCTTGAGAATTAGCCCCCAATACCAGCACCTGCTGGTATTTTTTCTTCCAATTTTTCTGTTTTTCTCCTCTCCCCCATTCCCTAACTGCTGCTTCCTGAGAGTCTCTTCAAAATAAACTCCTTGCACCTAAGTCCTTGTCTCTGTTTGTGTGTATTTATTTATTTGATGGTTAGAGTAAATGAAAAACTAAATAAGATACACGCTTGTTTTCTAATGGTCTTATGCCCAAACCCACATGATCTCACTTAAAGTGAATAAATTATGTGATTGGAGTAATTAGAGACATTATCTCATAGGAAATAGAGCTTTGAAGGTCTTGGGTAGATAGCGGTAAGGTGAGCGGAGAGAGTTTCATTTCAGAATCACTCTTTCCACCTTTAATACATCACAGCGTATAACCAGTTATACTGATGCAAAAATTATAATGCTTAGAAAGGATGCTAAAATGAGTCAATTTGCCGCAAACTAAGATGACCACATATTCACTTTACCTTCACTGTTACTTGCATTATTGATTTTGGTGTAAAACAAGGCTAACCTCTGGTGCATTCCTAAGTCTGTGGTCCATAGAACTTGTCAGTCAATACATTTTTATGACTCTTTCCCCCTGAATCACTGTCCGGGATTTATTTATAAAAAGATCTCAGATATGATATTCATAATCACCGAGCAGTCACCTTACCAAAAAAAAAAAAAATCGAGAAAAGAACATGGCAGATGGTGTCATGAAAATCAGACTAAAGAATACCCCCTGTAATGATGAGAATGGTGGCAGCGAAGTCCTAGCATATAGATGGATGACAGAAGGATTATCTGTTGTTTCTGGGCTCATCATAACCAATATATCAACTGTTTGAAAACTTTTTAATTAGGAGGATCAGCAGGATTTGTGTCTGAGTCACGAAGATAAGACCTTTCACCTTAAGTAAATGAGGAAAAACTAACCATCAGTAGCAAGAACTGCATTTATTTCAGAGTCCAGTGCAAATAGCATTAATCTAATGAACAAGGGCAAGGGTCTAATCCCTGTGTGGGCCAAATCAGGCTGCCTGGTTCTTCCTCCCTAGCAGCGCTCTCTCTCTCTCTCTCTCTCTCTCTCTCTCTCTCTCTCTCTCTCTCACACACACACACACACACACACACACACACACACAGACACACACATAGATCTAATTGATTATGCCACAAAGTACAATTTAAATCTGACCTTGGTGCTTGCCTGATGAAAACCATTTACTGGTTTCCCACTCTATTTAGCATAAAGCCTGACCCAGCACAGGTTGGCCCCTGCCTCTGATTTCTATTTTGAGGGACTGTTTCCTTGGCTCCTTGATTCAGCCAAATTGCCATCTGACTCATGCAGGATATTGAAGAGCATTTTCACGCCTTGCCACTTGCCACTCTGAAATACTGGACCGAACCTGTTTTCCTGGGTTTGAAGATGACTGCCTCCTCTATGTCTCAGCTTAAATAGGATCTCCAAGAGGCATCTTATCCCCATGCCCCTTCTCTCCTCCCAGCCTTGTCTGGCACATTCTTCTGCTTATCCCCTTTGTTACTTAGAACAAGTCTTATTTAGTGTATTTATTTGTTTGCCTGTTCATTGCCTATTTTTTTCTATGAAGAAAACATTTGTTCCTCAAGAGTCAATATGGTGCCTGACCTCTAACAGATACTCCATAATCATTTGTTGATTGTAAAATTCACACTCCAGAGTGATAGGCTAGTACCACCTTTTGTACACAGGATGGACATGAAATAATTTACAAAATTTTTTTCAGACTTCAAATCTAAGCTTTTCAAGCATTGGTGGGTGATTCTTGGGTTGGTCCTAGCTGGAAAACTACTGGTCATGTTTGGAAATTTGTTTTGACATACTTTGCATAGGTCTGATATTGGTTAGAAGTATCTTGACATCCATGGACAGCCCTCCAGCTACTGAGTAGAGTTCTTATCTTACCTTTAGTGCAGTGCTCATTGATATTCTGGAATGAAGAGGTGAGAGCATAATTTGAAAATTACATGTCCCATCTTGCTTAGTTTTGAAATATGTTAAAATTTCTTGAGTTCTTTGTGACTATGAGGTTTACTGTTTCAAATTGATTTTGCCAGGGTAATGTTCTAGCAGTTTGAAGGCACCTTACAAATACTTAAAAAAACCCATGCTACTCCAACAGCCTATCGAGGGGTCTGTGTGGTGAGGTGGAGGCCCCCTGCCATCCTCCATGCATGTGAGCCATCTTGGAAATGCATCCTCTCACCCCAATCAAGGCTGCAGATGACTAATGCTCCAGCCAGCTCAGCTGCTTCTAGATCTCTACTTCACAAACTGTGAGATAATAATAATGCAGTTGTTCAAGCTGCTAAATTTTGACCTAACTTTTATATTACAATAAGTAATAAATACACATAGGTATCAAAGCAATGATGTAAGCAAAACCTCATCAGCCAAGCAGGCATTTGTTTTAATTCCATTGTCTTTATTATTCTTTACCTAGCCCCTTCCATTGGTAGCTTATTGACCTT